CTGGCTATCCCGTAATGCCCCAAGTCCCATGGACCTTTAGCATGATCCTCTCCCTGTCTTGCGGCTGTGGCACGACGCTCCATCCTTCGCTAGTGCGCAGCTGTAACTGATCCTGAAACCATCGGTAATGCTGCCCCCTGGCCCTGGCCCGTTCGCTTACTCCTGAGCTCTCTAACGGCTCTCCTTTTATCCACCCCATGGTCTCCTGATCTTCCACACATCCACCTGCCGCTGCTCTCCCTTCTCTTGCCCCCAGGTCACCTCTGCCACCTGTGCTAATGCTATCAGCTGTGCAACTGGCTGAATCGGAGGCGGGTTCCTGGATAACCCATCCGCGTGTTTGCAGCGTCTTACCCGGTCGTGTGACGGATATTGAAATCGAATCCCACAGTTTGATTGCCCACCTGGCGTTCCTGCCCGTCATTTCTTGGTTTTTCATCAACCATAGCAAGGGCTGGTGGTCAGTCACTAGCGTGAAGTGCCGGCCTTGCAGGTACACTTTGAAGTGGGTGATACCCCCACACAGCGGTCAGTCCCTCCCCTTCGTACGAGCTGTAGTTAGCTTCCCTAGGGCTACAGCTCTGCGACTGGCCAATGCTACGACTCTCTCTTCCCCATCTATGTCCTGGCAAAGCACTGCCCCCATCCCCATACTGCTCCAGTCGTTGTAAAGAACAAATGGCGCATCTTCTGCCCGAGGTATCTGCAGCAGGGTACCCGTCTTCACTGCTTCCAGCAAATCTTGCCTGGCTGCTTCCTCTGTATCTCCCCACTGCCAACTCTTCCCCTCTCTGAGCAGCTGGTTCCAAGGCGTGCGCTCGGCGACTGAATTTGGCACGAACTTCCTGTAATAGTTCAGGAAGCCAAGAAGTGCCCTTAGCCCAGATTTGTCTTTCGGTGCAGCAAATCGTCCAGCACCTTGACTTTAACTTCCTGTATCGCCAGCCGCCCCCCCCTCACCTCAAACCCCAGGTACGCCACTGTACGGCGGGCTATCTTGCACTTGTCCGGGTGGCATGTTTAGTCCTGCAGCTGCTATCGCCTCCAGAGTCTGCTTCAAGTCCTGTACATGCTGTTCGTCGCTTCCACTGAAGATGAGCACATCATCAATGTAACAGGCTGCTGCTGGGATTCCCTTCAGCATCTGATCCATAGCCCGTTGAAACACCGCTGGCGCATTGCATATCCCGAATGGCATCAAATTGTATTCGTACAGCCATCCACTCCGTGAAAGGCTGTTTTTCGCTTGTCCCCTTCCTTGATAGCGATTTTGTTAAATCCTTGTCGTAAGTCCAGGTGGAGAAGATCGTTGCTCCATTTATTTTATCGAAGATATCATCCGCAGTCGGCATGGGATATCGGTCTGGGCTGGTGATCTTGTTCAGGTCCCTCAAGTCTCCACACATCCGCTTTGCTAACACCTTCCCCGTGATGTCTTTTCTGACAGCTACTACCGTGCCTGCTGCATAACTCGACTCTGACGGGCGTATCATGCCTGCTGCCAGCAGCTCCGCGCATTTCTCCTTGCGGATCGCCGCATCTTCTGCATTCATCCGCCTCCTGCGCTGATAAGTGGGCAGCTCCGTGGTTAAGTTTACTCCAACTCTCTCCCTTTGTATCTTCCCAGCTCCTGTAAGTTGTATGCGAAAGTACCTCTGTGCTGCTGTAGTACCTGTCTAATTGCTTCTGCCACCTCCTTCTTTATGTCTTCTTGGTAATCTGCTTCACATCCCATTTCTTGTTCTGCATGGCCTCCTTCACCACATCTTTCCTCAGCTGGGCGGGGTACCGCAGCTGCAGTATCTGTGCGTGTTTCCAGGCCATCCTCCGGACTTCGGGATCCACCTCCACATAGATCCACTTCTTCACCCTTAGGCCGGCCTCTAGCGCTGCTGCTAAACCGGCTCTCAGCCCCCCGAACAGCTCCACTAGTGTGACACTGTACTGGTCTATGCTTGCCCCCGGCTGGATTTCCATGATCTTCCCACCGCTTTTACTTTTCTCCTCTCCCCATGCCTCCTGCCCTCCAGGCTTTCTTTGGTTCGGTCTTGATGAAACGCACCGGCAGCTCACTCAGCTCCTTCCCTTCCTCCCAGAAATCCGAGCGGTATAGTACTTCTTGCTCCTGCCAGTTGCATATCGTAGTCCCTATCTTGTAGAGCAACTCCATTCCCAGTAAAATGTCGTAGTCGTCTGATTCTGTCAGTCCGCACTGCACCCTTATCGTTGTCTCTCCCTCCCCTCCCGGCTGCAGCGTAATCTCAATCAGATCCTTAGTGCATGGCATCCACTTAGGAGCCCCTCCTCCCTCTGCGGTCATGTTCAGTATTCCCCGTCTCCTCACTGTTTCCCACCTCCTTGCCCTTAGCTGCTCGGTCAGCTTTCTTCCCAGCAACACACTCTGCGCGCCTGTATCCACCACGGCATTTTCTACCAGAATCCCTCGTACCGCTACACCCTTCGGTTCCACCACCAGAGCCGTGGGCTGGCAGACCAGTCGCTCTTCAGGGTGCCGCCGAGCTGTCTTCGGCTTGTTAGTCCCCTCAGGTACCTTTGAAGTTCTTCTCATTGGCTGCTTCAGCTCCGCTCTACCGTCCTTCCCTCCACTCCTCAACCCCAAACTTTCGCGGTCCCTGGGTGGCATGGCCATTGTCCCATACTCAGCTTCTCCCTCCCCGTAATCTTCCTCTTCGTCGTCTTCCCAAGCTAGTAGCGCTTTCTCTGGGTCTTCGCTGATCTCCACCTTACCCATCTGCGCCTTCAGCTTTGCTAACTCCCTCTCCAACTGCTGTTCTCTAGCGGATTTTTCTCCCCCCTTCTCCTTCTTGCTGTAGCACCTTTCTTCCGTATGTCCCCGTTTCCTACAGAAGGTGCAGATCGGCGCCTTGGGACAATTCCGCCTGAAATGCCCTTTCTCCTTGCAGATGTCGCATATGATGTCGATGGCGCAATCCTTTCGCAGATGCCCGTGTTCCCCGCACTTGTGACACCGTCGCTTGTCTTCAAATGGTTTTTCTCTCCGTTCTTCTTCCATCCGCTTTCCTTCCACCGCAGCCCACGCCGCGCCTCCTGCGTTCGCCTGATCTTCCTGAGCTCGCTCCGCGTAACCCATCGAAGAACCTTCTTCCCTCCTCTACCTCTTTCGCAACCTGATACACTTGTCGCAATTTCGCCTTCATCCCCAGCGCGTACAGTCGGCTCCGCATATCTTGCATCAGGTCTTCATCCAATCCACCCACAAACTTCGACACCAAGGTCCGTTCTTCCAGGCAGCCCATGTCTTCGGCCAGCTCCATCAGTCGATTATAGTACGCTAGCAGAGATTCTCCTCTCGCTCTCTTAAAATATTGGAACTCTGTCATCCGATCTGCTGAATGTCCCGGAATTGTTCTCGCGGGCCTTCCAGGAATCGGTCGGTGATTTCCGCCGGCGCGAAGTCTCCCCGTTTACTCTACAGCAACAACCCTTGTCTCTCCACCCAGTAGTGCGTCAGCGCTTCCCCCTTGAGCGTTCTCCCCAATCCTCTGAAGAATTCAATGGGATCATGCCCCTCCCTCTCCCAGCAGTATCGGATGTCATCCACCATCATAATGTAATTCTTCAGCGTGGGCTCCTCTCCAGGCGCTCCTGAGAAGCGATCTGGCACCTCAATCTTAGGTGGAGCTGCACTTATCGTTCTGCCGTGTTCCCCAGCTCGCCGTTCCCCTCTCGCCAATCCCCACATGCTGATCTCCTCTTCCGGCCTCCCTGGATTCGTATCTTCCAGCAGAGAATCCGTGAAACGCCTCTCCTTCTCGCTGGCTCCGCTGATCTTCCTTATGGTCTCCCACTCTCGGTTCTGGGGTTCCACGCTGAGATCCTCCAACCCCGGCTGATCGGGATCCCATCCCTGGCGCTGGCGAATTGCAGTTAGAGCCCAGTGGAGGCTCTCCCCGTCGGTCGCCCTCCTTTCCTTGATCCGCGCTGCTATTACCACTCGCGTTCGCTGTTCCTTCTTCTGCTCGGAACCCAGGCGTCTTAGTCGGCAGGTCTTGCCCCTCCATCCTCCGCGCAGGAAATCTGTGACCTGAACGCAGCTGATGAGTATGTAGTTCTTGATCAAGGCCGCTCATCCCTTACGGTGCATCACCGCAGGTCCTCCAGGCGTTCGTACCTGTTCTGCTGAAATTTCAGCACTGCAACTTTTTGCTTGTATGAACAAGTCTAACCCCCCTCGCAAGGGCTCCGTCAGATTGCTCCTGCTTCTCCCTACTGCTAGCTTCCTTTGGCTTAGGAAAACAAGATTACAGTAAGAAGAGAACATACAAGCAAAAAGCGAGAAACCTGAGTGCTACCCTCGACTACATTCCCTCCTCCTGCCTAGGTTCCTTCTGCAGCACGCTAACTCTAGTGCCAGACGCGAGTCAGCTGCACTGCTCGTGATGGCTCCTAGGTGCTAGCTGGCTCCCACTGGGCCCCCTAGGCATGCACTGCAATCCAGCTGGAATCGAGTTCCTAGCCTGGAATCGCATTCCCAGCTGGAATTGCATTCCCAACCTGGAATCGAATTCCCAGCTGGAATCGAATTCCCTCTTCTGTACCAACCTCCTCGTATTTCCCTGCACTCGGCTCTGTAAAGCGTATGTACAGTACATACCACGCACACAAAAGAAATTAGAGTACAAGTCCAGAAATGCACAATTACCTGGCTGCTGTGTAATTCACGCCTTAGCCTGCTGGCTAGGCGTTAATACGCGACACCTGACCTTACTGAATGACTAGTCCCACAGCATGTACCTTTAACGCCACGAAGTGTGGATCCCTGTACCGCCCATTCTGGTCCACGTCTCCAAACACGCTCCCTCCTCTTTCCTCTCCTCCTTCTGCCCCTCCTCCTGCCCGTTTTCCAGCCCCTCCTTCTGCCCATTTCCCTCCCCGTTTTTCTGCCCTTTTCTCTGCCCCTCCTCTTGCTGCCCATCCCTGCGGCCTTTAAAGCTGCTGCTAGAAGGGCAGTCTAAGGGGAGCGGTTGGGGAAGGAGCCGTTTTGGAGGTGCAGCGAGAGGGGGAAGTAGATCTGCTTGACAGGGCAGAAGGTGATTGAGCGGATGAGGGCGTCGACTGCAGGGAAGAACCCGTCATGGCTGGTGAGAGGGGGAGTAGGCACAATATATGGGCGAGAACAGATGATTAATGGGGCGCTGGGAAGTGGAGCTGTTTGACAGGGCAGAAGGTGATTGCGCGGACGAGGCGTCGACTGCAGGGAAGAACCTGTCATGACTGTTGAGAGGGGGTGGGGGGAGATGAGTGCAGAAGGGGCGGAGAGGGAGGGAAGGAGACCATTAGGAGGTGCAGGGAGAGGGGAAGGTAGCGACGTGGAGAGGTGGGAGAGGGGAAGTAGATCTGTTTGACAGGGCAGAAGGTGATTGAGCGGACGAGGGCGTCGACTGCAGGGAGGGAAGATCGTCGTGGCTGTTGAGTAAGAGGTGGGAATGGGGGCAATGGGGGACACAGAGGGTGACTGTTGAGAAGAAGGGAAACGGGAGCAAAAGGGGCGGAGAGGAAGGGAAAGAGACGTGGCAGAATGTGATTGCACGGATGAGCGAGTCAACTGCTGGGAAGAACCCATCGTGGCTGGTGAGAGGGAGGGGGGAAGATGCGTGCACAAGGGGCGGAGAGGGAGGGGGGAAGATGCGTGCACAAGGGGCAGAGAGGGAGGGGGAAGATGCGTGCACAAGGGGCGGAGAGGGAGGGGGGAAGATGCGTGCACAAAGGGGGAGAGGGAGGAAGGAGAGACAATCAGGAGGTGCAGTGCAGGGAGAGGGAAGGTAGAGACGTGGAGATGTGGGAGAGTGGGGAGTAGATCTGCTTGACAGGGCAGAAGGTGATTGAGCGGACGAGGGCGTCGACTGCAGGAAGGGAAGACCCCGGCCGCTATGTCTATGGCACCTAATAACCAGCAGGCACGCACCTGACGATGAGGAGGGTTTCGTTGATTCCTTGGACTTCAGACAGAGCATTTAACGCCACGCATAGGTACGCTGCCCGCCTGTGCACATACAGCACCACTATCACCACTGCCTGCTCCCCTAAGGCTCTCGGTTATCAGCAGGCACGCACCAACAACAAGCCTGAGGTACCTGCTCACCATGGGACGTCTGAAAAGTCGGTTATCAGCAGGCTTTTGAGACGTCTGAAAAGTCGGTTATCAGCAGGCTTTTGAGACGTCTGAAAAGTCGGTTATCGGCAGGCTTTTGAGACGTCTGAAAAGTCGGTTATCAGCAGGCTTTTGAGACGTCTGAAAAGTCGGTTATCAGCAGGCTTTTGAGACTCTGAAAAGTCGGTTATCAGCAGGCTTTTGAGACGTCTGAAAGTCGGTTATCAGCAGGCTTTTGAGACGTCTGAAAAGTCGGTTATCAGCAGGCTTTTGAGACGTCTGAAAAGTCGGTTATCAGCAGGCTTTTGAGACGTCTGAAAAGTCGGTTATCAGCAGGCTTTTGAGACGTCTGAAAAGTCGGTTATCAGCAGGCTTTTGAGACGTCTGAAAAGTCGGTTATCACAGCTTTTGAGACGTCTGAAAAGTCGGTTATCAGCAGGCTTTTGAGACGTCTGAAAAGTCGGTTATCAGCAGGCTTTTGAGACGTCTGAAAAGTCGGTTATCAGCAGGCATTTGAGACGTCTGAAAAGTCGGTTATCAGCAGGCTTTTGAGACGTCTGAAAAGTCGGTTATCAGCAGGCTTTTGAGACGTCTGAAAAGTCGGTTATCAGCAGGCTTTTGAGACGTCTGAAAAGTCGGTTATCAGCAGGCATTTGAGACGTCTGAAAAGTCGGTTATCAGCAGGCTTTTGAGACGTCTGAAAAGTCGGTTATCAGCAGGCTTTTGAGACGTCTGAAAAGTCGGTTATCAGCAGGCACGCACCAACAACAAGCCTGAGGTACCTGCTCACCAACAAGCACGCACCTGACAATGAGGAGGGTCTCGTTGATGCCTTGGACTTCAGACAGAGCATCTAAAGCACCTTCAGGTATTCGCGCCACTATCACCTGCTCCTAGCAGCACCCCTTGCATTGCACGTTGCAGTACCCTTCGCGCTCACACACACTCACAGCGCACCTGACAATGAGGAGCGTCTCATTAATGCCTTGGACTTTAGAGAGAGCATCCAGAGCCACTCTTAGGTACTCTTCCCGCCTGTGCCACTGTCACCCGCTACTCATTGCTCCCATCTCTACGCTACCAGCACTTGACCGTCTGCAGTTCGCACCTGACGATGAGGAGGGTCTCGTTGATGCCTTGGACTTTAGAGAGAGCATCCAGAACCACTTTCAGGTACTCTGCCCTCCTGTGCCAGAGCCACTTTCAGGTACTCTGCCCTCCTGTGCCAGAGCCACTTTCAGGTACTCTGCCCTCCTGTGCCAGAGCCACTTTCAGGTACTCTGCCCTCCTGTGCCAGAGCCACTTTCAGGTACTCTGCCCTCCTGTGCCAGAGCCACTTTCAGGTACTCTGCCCTCCTGTGCCAGAGCCACTTTCAGGTACTCTGCCCTCCTGTGCCAGAGCCACTTTCAGGTACTCTGCCCTCCTGTGCCAGAGCCTTTCAGTACTCTGCCCTCCTGTGCCAGAGCCACTTTCAGGTACTCTGCCCTCCTGTGCCAGAGCCACTTTCAGGTACTCTGCCTCCTGTGCCAGAGCCACTTTCAGGTACTCTGCCCTCCTGTGCCAGAGCCACTTTCAGGTACTCTGCCCTCCTGTGCCAGAGCCACTTTCAGGTACTCTGCCCTCCTGTGCCAGAGCCACTTTCAGGTACTCTGCCCTCCTGTGCCAGAGCCACTTTCAGGTACTCTGCCCTCCTGTGCCAGAGCCACTTTCAGGTACTCTGCCCTCCTGTGCCAGAGCCACTTTCAGGTACTCTGCCCTCCTGTGCCAGAGCCACTTTCAGGTACTCTGCCCTCCTGTGCCAGAGCCACTTTCAGGTACTCTGCCCTCCTGTGCCAGAGCCACTACCTGAAGGTAGTACATCTTTTGAGTCACCTCGATGTACTCAAAAGTCACCTCGAGAGCATCTAGAGCCACATTCAGGTGCTCCTCTCGCCTGTGCACATGCAGCACCACTACCACCTTCGAGACGTCTTAAAAATCACCACTACCACCTCCACTGACTGTCCCCCTGCAGCACGTGGTTACCAGCAGACACGCACCTGACGATGAGCAGGGTCTCATTGATGCTTTGCACTTTAGAAAGAGCATCCAGAGCCACCTTCAGGTACTCTGCCCGCCTGTGCACATACAGCACCACTATCACCCCCACTGACTGCTCCTCTATGCCTGAGGTACCTGCTCACCAACAAGCACGCACCTGACAATGAGGAGGGTCTCGTTGATGCCTTGGACTTTAGAGAGAGCATTCAGAGCCACCTTCAGGTACTCTGCCCGCCGGTGCACGTACAGCACCACGATCACCTGCTCCTCCTGCCCTATCCCTCCGCCTCCCCCCCCCCGTGCCTTCCTCCTCCTTTTCTCTCCGCTTCCGCCCTTCCCGTTTGCGCTCTTCCCCCTCCCCCTGCCTCGGGAAATTTATCCGCATTCTGAACCGGGAGCTCGTTCCTTGCCAGGAGGTCCGGCCGAGCCACGACGGGAGGCCACGGATTGCCGAGCCTCTTCCATTCAGCCACCGCCCGCTTCGCCTGCTGCTCCTTCCTCGCAACTTCCACCAGCATCTTTAGCAGCATATCGTATTTTGAAATCTTCCTCACCAGCCTCCCTGCAACTATTCGAAGCTCCCCCTCCCTCCCCCCTCCATTCCCTCCTTTCCTCCTCCTCCCTTCCCTCCTCCCTTTCCTCCTCCCTTCCCACCTCCACACCCACCTCTCCTCCCTCCTTTCCCGCTCGCCCTTCTTTTCCCCTCAACCCCTCCGTCCTCCCCCTTCTGCTGCTGCAATGCCAATGCCTGTGCGTCTCTCTCCTCTAGCTTTCGTAGCCACAGCGGCTTATGAGGAGACGAAGATTCATTCTCTCCTAACTCCTCCCCTCCCCTCCTCCTTCCTCTTCTCCCCTTTCTCCCATCCCTCACCTTCCTTCATTCCCCTTCCCCCTACCAGCCAGCCCCACCATCCCTGCCTGCGCTTTTCCGCCCTCCGCCGTTTCCCCCCCTCCCGCCCCAACCTGTTCCGCTGGTCTCTACCCCTCAGGCCCTGCTGTCACGCCTCCATTTGCCCCTCTGCTTACCTCTCCTCTCCCCCTTCCGCTCCCCCCTCCCATCCACCCTCCTCCTCTCCCCCTTCCGTTACTGACCACTAACGGAGCCGCTTTCAAGCCGGTTGACTGCTGCAGTCTGTTGAGTGGACGTGATCGTGACGTCATCAAGGCCCAATGAGATGCGAGACGTGTGCATAACTGGTGGATCCAGGACCGGTTACATACTCAGATGCTACTGTAACACTGCTGGTTACATCAATCAGTTGCTCCTGTAACAGTGCTGCTTGCATTGTTGATCTTCGCTCGTGCAGGACTGCTGGTAACCAGCTTCTCGCTTTGGAACCCGCTGCGCGCCGAATCAGATACAGTGCGGCCGATTTACTGTAGCCTGCTGATAGCAATGAGAAGTATCGGCTACACTGGAGAAAGCAGTCGCATCTAGGGCAGCTAGATAAGTTTTTCCTCGGGCAGATGAAACATCCGACGTGGAAGGGAGGAAAGAGGAGGATTGGTAGTGATGGAGGAAAAATATACCTGCTAAGAGCTGAAGGAGAAGGGCTACTGGGAGGAGAATCCGCTGAAATAGAGCCACGTGACTTAAACCGAACGTTAACGGAATCCGTTTGGAACTTCGTCGTGGTTTGACGTTCGCACGTGCGTCAGCGACGAGAGATCCCCATGATTCTAAAAAGTCATGGTCGCACATGTGCGAATAAACACCTTCTGGTGTTACCACATGCGCGAACGAAGATGCGACATTACAAGTTCAGTTGTGCGAATGAGGTAACACATCAGATCAACTGAGCCGCGATCTGCCGAGGTGGTTTCGCATCGAAGGGCAGGAGTAAGGCTCCACGAAACGAAGAACGAAGCCTATCGCAACAACAGGAACTCCTTACGACGAGGCTTGATCTACAACAGACATATGCTTCCATAGCGATAACGAAGGGTACACATGTCTAACGAAGGAAGCTAGACAGGAGTACCTCCTATAATGGTTAGGCCTGAAGGGATGCTGCCCGAGCGCAGGAAGCGCAATGAAGAGTGGAAAGCACCTCCTCCGGTATTATAAACTACGTCGATAGGAGCTCCATGATACAGCAAGTTCCGTTCCGACCCACTATTCAAATTCGAATACCACTGTAGAGCGTCCATGGTCGGCCAACAGTCCCAATGTGTCAGAAGTGTCAGAATTGTGTGGCGGGAAGAGAGTAATCAAGCACTTGTTCAGTTGAGGAAGATCCGGGATCTCGTTGTGGCTTTCAGTTGAAGAAGAGTTGAACTCGTAGAGCAGTCAAACTGTTGGTCAACCATTGGATGCGATTTCTTACACTAAAATCCTGCACTTCTAAAACCTGTAAGGAATTTTCTCTACATTCCTTAGCGCGCCCTGCAACATCGCGTACAGCCGCAGCCGCTGTTCGCCCGTTACTGCTAACGGGGCTTCACCGACTTCGCGCGCACTTGTTTCACCAAACATCGCACTGCTGGCCCGTCCGTGTCGGCCTACGCTTCGGGACTAGCCCGAGCCTCGCTGCCAGCGTAGTACCAGCTAGCTACGCACGCACCGCGTTACCGTTTGCATGTTTCGCGTATAAATGTTAGCTCATGCCTTCGCTCACATTTTGTACTCGTTTGACACCTTAGTGCAATCCTCGCTACCTCGATTCATTGCACCCGTAACAAAACCTTTATTCGACACGCATGTGTCGCTCAGTAGTTTTCGCCACCGAACCATCAAGTGAATCGTTAATCTGTAAATCAGGAATACATTCAGAACTTCACGCATGTGCAATCATTAGGCTCAACCATTTCAAAGAATGATATACCGTCTCTCACAGAAGAATAATATCACCCGACTGTACAAGTGTTTGGATCGGCCTATATCGCAGAATGTGGAGCTCTCCAGGCGCCATGCCGATGACATCATCAAGCCTGGAGGTTTGGAAGAGGTTTGAGAAGAACAGAGTGTGAGTTTCAGGAAAGAAAAGCTAGGGTGGGGGGGGGGGGGGGCAGAGGGAAGAACAGATAACAGGGTTGAAAGATACATGAATACGAAAGCCTCTTGTTCAAACGGAAACATGAAATAGATGTCACACCTCAAAAGGAACTCGGGATATGAGAAGTTCAGCTTATTTTCCTCTCTTCTCTGAGAACCCGAATACTCCACCTTGCATCCTAGAATCCATTTTTTCAACCTATATAACTCACTGGGGATCAATCTCTACAGACAGAAGAAGGCGTGTGGAGGCACAGAGCATGCAAACATATCAACCGGCTCAAATGCGTGATGTTTTGCCTGCCTTCCCTGTTATTCGATTCCGAAAATTCTCAAAAGCTGTTTGATCTATTGAACCAGTTACTCCTCAGTAATACTCACTGGGTCCAGCTCAACAGATGGTAGGGGACTGGTGGCCACTCAGAATACAAGGACGTGAACAGAACACTATGTCCAGCGGTATAAGTCACACAACCTGTTACCCTGGTTGCACTCACTCTGGTCCAGCTGAACAGACAGCAGAGGGCGAGTGGCCACACAGAACACAAGATGTGAACCAAACACAGCCGTTATAAGTCACAACCTGTTAAACCTCTGTATTACTCACGTCGGGGTCCACTGGACAGACGGCAGAGGGGCGAGTGGCCACACAGAACACAAAAGTGTCGAGGTCGGGAGTGGGGACTGCAGAGGAGGGGGTCATCCAGTTAGAAAAGAGATGGGTAATGTGGTTTGGATATCAGGGTGGTTGGACAGCTGGACAGACGGCAGAGGGCGAGTGGCCACAACAGAACACAAAAGTGTCAAGGTCGGGAGTGGGGACTGCAGAGGAGGGGGGTCATCCAGTTAGAAAGAGATGGGTAATGTGGTTTGGAAATCAAGGGTTTGGACAGCTGACAGACGGCAGGGGGCGAGTGAGTGGCCACACAGAACACGAAAGTGTCAAGGTCGGGAGTGGGGAACTGCCAAAGAGGGATTAATCGGTTGGGAGAGACGGTAGTGTGGTTTGGAAATCAAGGGTAGCTCGGCAGCTGAACAGACGGCAGAGGACGAGTGGCTACACAGAACACAGATGTGTCGAGGTCGGGAGTGGGGACTGCCAAATAAGGGGTATTCAGTGGAAATGACATGGGTAAGTTGGCTTAAAAGATCCGGGTCTATCAATATGAAAAACAGGGGTAGTCCAAAGGCACTTGTAATCTGGAAGCTAGGAAATGAGCTTTCATATAAGTGAAAACTGCATAACTCATTCACATTCTAGGTGACTGGGTACGGATTGGTGAATCCTGAGCCTCAACTTACTCATACTCATGGCATAGCAGAAATGTGCCTGTTTCACCAAGCAGACCATGAAAACCCTGAGTCTTGTTTTGAGTCGACTCAAAACAACACTTACTCATACTCATGGCATAGCTGAAATCCGCCTGTTTCAGCGTGCAGACCATGAAACCCTGAGTCCAGCATTCATTCATGAATTCTCAAACCCTCAAACTCTACAACACGAGATCTGCCTGCTTGAAATTTGACCTGTAGCGCCGTGGCAAGCACGAGAGCACAGCAGAGGCCCAAAGTCCAGCTCACTCACACACAAGCTCTTAACCCTCCATCCATGAACCCTTAATTTGTGATTCTAGTACTCACTCATATCAGGGGCTTCTCGGGAGACAGCTTGCTTCAGCAGCGTGGCAAGCGCAAGAGTGCAGCAGAACCCGTAAGTCCAGCTCTCTCACACACAAGCTCTTAACCCTCCGTGCCATGAGCCCCTAATACACAGCCCTGTGATTCTACCACTCACTCATCTCAGGGGCTTCACTGCAGTACGCTGCTTGAGAAATGGACTGGTAGCAGGGGCAGGCGAGGGAGTACAGAGGAACCCTTGCATCCAGCGCTCACTCACAAACTCTGAACCCTTCATCCATCAACCCTTCATCTGTGATTGTAGCCTCACTCATATCTGGTGTTTCGCTCGAGTCCGCCTGCTTCAGGATGGACTGGTACGGCGTGGCAGGCGCGTGAGGCGCAGTCCTGTCCAGATGCGCCTGCACCAGATCTACCTGCCTGGAGGACACAGGGAGAAGATGGCGATCGAGAGTTAACGAGAAACACGGTCCTTGTCCAGGCACGCTGCACCAGATCTACCTGCCTGGAGAAGAGAAGAAAGAAGATGGTAGAGAGGGAAGATGGTAGAGAGGGAAGATGGTAGAGAGGGAAGATGGTAGAGAGGAAAGATGGTAGAGAGGGAAGATGGTAGAGAGGGAAGATGGTAGAGAGGGAAGATGGTAGAGAGGGAAGATGGTAGAGAGGGAAGATGGTAGAGAGGGAAGATGGTAGAGAGGGAAGATGGTAGAGAGGGAAGATGGTAGAGAGGGAAGATGGTAGAGAGGGTTGATCGGGAGCGCAGTCCTGTCCAGGATGCGCCTGCACCAGGTCTACCTGCCTGACAGGAACCAGGTGAGCCGGGAAGAGGAGGGGGGGGGAAAAAGAGGTAGATTTGAGAGCGGAGTCCTGTCCAGATGCGCCTACACCACATCTACCTTCCTGGAGCAAGAAGGAAAGGGGGGAAGGGACGGGCAGGGGGTGGTTAAAAAATTGGTCATTCTAAAAGCACCAGATCATTAATGGGAAGAAGAGGGGGAGGACGTTTGAGGAACCTCAAGAGCAAGCACAGGCCCTGACCAGGTGCGCCTGAATCAGATCTACCTGCCTGCAGGAAACAGGAAGGGGAGGCGGAGCAGGAGGGGTGGGGTGATAATGGGTTGCAATACATCTATGAAAAAAAAAAAAAAAAAAAAAAAAGAACAGGGAAAGCACGACAACACTGACAGTTTTGTATACCAGAGCACAAGAGCAAGCACACACTCTTGCTACGCTGATAACCACACACGTACTCGTCACAAATTTACAGACATGTACGAACAGAAACTAGTTCATTGATTCTCAAGCTGGCTGTTGAAAAAACGCACGCGCCCTCATCCAACCAGACCAGACCAGCCTTCCCATGTGAATCAAGGGGTTCGTTTCAATGCCCAGGAGTGCTTACCTATTGAGTTAATGGAATGGAAATAGGGCCTTCACAGCCCATCTGTCCACCTTCACCTGTTTCGCTCTCAAGTGATCATCAGAGGACTTCTCAAATCGTCTCAAAAACTCGTTTCTTGTGAGAGCAATGGAGACCGCCTCTCACAGCTTCTCAGAGCAATAGATGGGGCACACACAAGCAAGCAAGCACGCGTACCTGTCACAGTACCGCTATTCCCCACGTTAGCCCCGGCCGTGGCATTCTTGAAAAGAGCACTAGAGAAAGCACACAGCAGCAACCACGCATACCTGTCACATTGCCGCTGTTCCCCACGTCAGCCCCGGCTGAGGCATTCCTCGAAAAGTTGAAGAGAACTAGATCAAGCAAGCACACACACTCAAGCACACGTACCTGTCGCAGTAACGCTGCTCTCCATCTGACAGCCGGCTGTGGTAGCTCTCCTCGCCAGCAAAGTGCAGAAAGAAGCGGTCGATCTGCATTTGGGGTGGGAGAGAGGAGGGAGAGAGTAGTAGAAACAACAGACTTGAATGAGGTGGGAAATGCAGCTGCTCTCCATCTGACAGCCAGCGGTGGTAGCTCTCCTCACCAGCAAAAGTGCAGAAAACATCGGTCGATCTGCATGGGAGGTGGGAGGGAGGAGGGAGAGAGAAGCAGAAACAACAAAGTTGAATGAGGTGTGAAATACAGCTGCTCTCCATCTGACAGCCAGCGGTGGTAGCTCTCCTCACCAGCAAAGTGCAAAAAGAAGCGGTCGATCTGCATGGGAGGTGGGAGAGAGGAGGGAGAGAGAA